AAAGATTGTGAGGATGGTTCAGGATGTAGCTTGGTGTTGGTTTGTGATATATAAGGTCACTGAGTTAGAGTCAATTCATGTCACACCTAACAACAACAACAAGCATTGATCATGGACCACTCATGTCAATGTGGTTACTGATTTCAACATAACACAATACTATTGTTGGATGAAATAGACATTATTAAAACACTTGCAGAAAATTTGAAAATTATCAGGTTAGACTTATTTTTCCATTTTACTTGATCTATCTGGAGATAATAGGTGGACAAAGATATGTTTGAGGGAGCAGGTTTATTTTTTAAAAGGAAAAGATAACAATGTTTTGTAAAGCACATGAATTATACATACACATTACACAGCACAAACACAGAGACATAAATATTTCTCATGAATGCAAATGTAGCCTTCATTGATAATGTTATCTTCCAAAGCAAATTTCCCACTAATCGTCTATTGTTTTTCTGAATTTTCAGTGGTCATTACAATGAACTTGTGTAATTCTTGTATAAGAAAATAAAAGCAAAACCAAACAACAAAACAACAACCCAACAAGTAGTTTTGTTAGTACAACTTGTTTTAGTGTTTTCCCTGAAAAATAACTTCTGCAGCAAACGATTTCATCTGTTGTTATGTATTGTCTAGTTTGAATCAACACGTGGCTGACCTTCTGGTGAATTTTCAGAGTCTGTTAATCTTAATTGAACAGGAGGAGATGCCCCATTCTTTTCACACAGAGCAGATGGTGGATTTGAACCACGTGTCTTTAGTATTGCAGTACCGCTTTGAACCCTTTGTGATATATACCTTTCTGAATCACTTGCCAGATATTATATATTTCATTTTCATGAATATTAATAGTTATAAAAGATATTTCAAAACCAAGTTGCACAATTACTTTTATTCAACTTAAACATGTGTTTTGCTCTCATGATGAGACTTCAGAGAAATCATTACTTGGAAGGAGGTCCCTAACTAAAAAGGGCTCCTTCCATATAGTAAGGAAAAAAATTGTAAGGTATATCAACAACAACAACAACAACAACTTACTGTATTGGTTGTTTTTATTTAAGCCTCTAGTTTAGAGTCCAAAAGTCTTTGGGGAGGGTCGTTGTATTTAAAAGTTGGTTCTTATTATATTTTGGAGGAACATTCTTCTAAGTGATACAACATTTTTCTGTCTATTTGCTGTCCTGAGGTAAC